TTTTTTCTTTAATTAATTTAAATTCTAAATTAACCTAATTTGAAAAAATTAAGCTAATTATCTAATTATAACATTTACAAAATTTAGTTGATCCTAAATTAAAAAGAGAAAATTACTAATTCAAAATTAAAAGCTAAAAATGTAAAAATGAGCAGTATTTTTTGTGATTTTATTTTAATAATGCAATTAATTGAACAATTAATCCTAAAAATTAAGAACATAAAATCTAATATGTAATGCATGATATTTTTGACATTTTTCATGATTTTGACAAAAATTAAACGTGCACAAAAATGCAAAAATTAATAAAAATCCTACAAAAATCCTATAAAATTGCAAATAAGTTGGAAAAATCTATTTTCTTTGATTTTGTAGGAGTATTTCACATAGGGCAAAAATTACATGCTCACAATGTTAAAATGAAGCTAACCCTCGAATATAATATTCTGCCAGGCATTCTAGCTCATGCGGACTCCAGCTCGTATCTGCGAGCTAGCTTTTGCGACTCATTCACTCACATTTGCGAGTTCCAATAGCACAAGCCCTCATCGCATATGAGGTCTTTCAGTCGCATCTATAACATTGCAAGTGTTGCTCCACAAGCATAGAAGTGCAATTCCTCAGTCCAACCAAGCTCAGCTGGTGCACATGCATCCGCAAGTGCGACTCCGCACTTGCGACGCTACTTTCGTAGAAGCGTCCAACCTTTGGCCTCACCATCTTCGCATATGCAAGCACCTCATTAACATGTGCAACCTCACACCTGCGACTACTCCGCAGTTACGGTACACCAGCACCAGCAATGAATTCAAATCTCAAAGTAGTCTAAACCACCCTGAAACTCACCCGAAGCACACAAGACCTCATCCGATCATACCAACAAGTTCAAATATATCACATAAACCTATCCAAAAGCTCCAAACACAATAATTAATATCAAATCTAAGAGTCATTGATCAAGATCAATCTCTTAAGTTCATAAACCTCGAACTTCAAAACAAGTGTCCGATTCAAGCCTAACCAATCCGGAGTGAGCCCAAACTTTGCAAAAAAATCCCAAATGACAAAATAGACCTATTCCAATTCCCGAAATAACAATCCTCCCTCGAAATCCTCGAAGTCAACTCCTAGTCAAACTTATGAATTTTCCAAACCTTCAAACTACTAACTTTCGACAATTAGAGCCAATCAACCTAGAACCCTCCAAATCCAAATCTGAATATATATCTAAGCCCGTAATCACCATATGAACCTATTGGAACCATCAAAATACTAATATGAGGCCGTTTACTCAAAAGACAAACCTTGATTGATTCTTCCAACTAAAAGCTTCCGAATTGAGAATTACTCTCGCAAATCAACGCGAAACGTCTTAAAAATTTAAAAAACTATATACGTGAGTCAGAATGCATAATCTGAAGCTGATCAAGGTCTCAAACTGCCGAACCAAGTGCTAAAGCTCAAAATGATAAGTCGAGTCGTTACATTTTTTTCTTCACCGATAATACCATAATTTTTCAATATTAAAAGCTGTAAATTCTTATTTGGGGGTAGAAACATGAAGTTAATGATTGATTATTATTAAAATTATTTGCACCTTTATAATTTATGCTTAAATTTTTAATTTAAATACTAATATAGTGATTTACTTTAAAACTCCATTATCGTTCCTTAAAAAATTATTAAACAAAGATAAAATGAGTCTTCTTGATTTGGTGTTATCTGACTAAATTGATGATTGGAATCGCCTGTGTTGGTATTTGGAGGTCTTGTTTCAAACATGATCATTTGGAGGTTTGATTGAAATTAGAGTTGCAACTTTGAAGAACACTATGTTGAACAACACAAAAAAGTTATGCCAATTGGGTAGACTTTGATGAATAATTTAACTGTTAGGTCAAACCAAATAACACAAAGTCATGTCAACCTAGTAAAGTTTGGTGAACAATTGAACAAACATAAAATCATGCTAACATGGTAGAGTTTGTGAATAATCTATTAAATAGGTTGAATCTAACACAAAGTCATGCCAAAACAATCACAAAATACTACTAAAAATAAGACAAAAATCGATTGCCAAAACACACTGATGTTGGTTGGTAATTGGCAAAAATCGATCGATTCCTAGCAATCTGTAATCGTGCAGTCGGTAGAGCCAACCGACTGATTTCGGCCGGTCAATTAAATTCCACAGCGACAAAAAAAAAATCGACCAAAAAACTAACAGACTTTGGCTGATTTTAACCGACTGAAATTGGTCGGTTTTTTTAAATTATGTAATTAAAAGATGCATCATCTGAGAATTGAACCGGAGTCTGTATTATAGTATGATAATATTATACCACTACACCATTAGTGCTTTTTTGTTTAAAACTTTCTTTTATTTTATTTATACTTTTTAATTGTATTTTTGCACGAAAATAACCTCTAGATTTCCGTCGGTTTTGTTAAAAAAATAAAACTACAGACCGAAGTCAGTCGTTTTTAAATAACCGACCTATTTCGATTGGTTTTCTGAATATTAATTTTAATTTAGTTTAAATGAAAAATCGATCGAGGTTGGTCGATTTCTTGAAAATAAATTTTTCGGGATGCAAAAATAACTTCCTTCATTTTGGCGCAAAAAAAAACCCAACCAAATTCGGTGGGTTTTATAAAAAAATTATAACAGAAAATATTCTGAAAAATCGACTGACATCGGTCAGTTTTTCGGTGTGTGTTTTGACCTACCAAAATAAATCGGGCGGTCGCGTTCGGTTTTAGCCGAATTTCTGATAGTGAAAGTCATGCCAACTAGACAGAGTTTATGAACAATTAACAATATAGGTAGAGTAAATATACATAAAATTTATTAATCCGGTAAAAATTCCGTGACAAGCAATATGTGTGTGGGGGACCGAGGTCATTTTCTAAATACTTTAAAAAAAATGAAAATAATATTTAAAGACCAGCCTTTATAGGACTATTTCTGTCAATCACCCAATAAGCACCTAGTGAGATTTTATCAAATTACTACTTTATGGCTAAATTTGAAACCCTAGTGAGTAGGGCTTCTAATCGACTTGGTGGGGCTCGTAACCCGCCAAACCCAAACCACACTTATTAGGCAATAGAGTCTACTCAATTCTGAACTCTGCCGAACTATATAAAAAAGGGCGCGGGAAGTAAAAGGCAGACAGACAACAGCCATGGGAAGTGAAGAAGAGAGCACAGTGAAAGAGCCGTTGGATCTCATCAGACTCAGCCTTGATGAGAGAATCTACGTCAAACTCCGTTCAGACCGAGAACTCCGTGGCAAACTTCACGTATTTTTACTCCTTCCGTTTCCTTTATTTTGTTCTTTTCGAAGATAATTCTCTCTAACTTACGAAAATTGAACGTTATGTGATTGTAATTTGTCTGCTTTTACCAAACGTCTTACTGGCATATTGTAGACGTTTAGCCCTTTCCCTTTTTCGTTCTTTTAATTCCTGGATTAGGGTTTAGGCCAACATTGCTATTTTTTATTTCAATATTCTATGTTCAGGTCTGTAATATTTTTTTTGTTTTTAGAATTTAATTTTTGGCTGCTTAAACTTCTTCTGTTTTCCCTATATCCACCCTTTTTATTTATAACTGTAGCGTCCACCAACTTTCGCGCACCTCCACTAATTTTATGCTATACCTCCAACTAGCAACAGGTATCAACTAAGTTCACGCACCAAGGCTGGGATAGATAGGAAGAAATCACCTGTGTTTTTGTCTCCACTAATTTGAACGTGAGATCTCAGGTTCTCAACCCACTTCAATGACCACTATGCCACACCCTTGGGTGCCTATATCCGCTTTGCAAAGGGGCGGGCAGGGTGTGGTTGATTCTTTTTAGTATTATGCAGTCGGAAACACTATTTGGGGACAATTATGTGCTACTGCTTATAGAATTTCTTTCTGAAGGATAAATATACTATGGTTTTTGGGTAGCCTTAGTATTAACCAGAAAGAAAAGAATATTTCTCTGCAGTCTTCTTTAAATGTTGACATCTAATTAATAAGTAAAATAACTCCAAAAGCAATTTCCATCTAGCTTCTCCAGTGTTGTTTATGAATAATTTGATTGTGGCACATGACATGTTTTGCAAATAATTGGGCGGGGTAGCCCCACATGGGGCTGGTATTAGTGGAATGTCCCCGTAATTGGCGGTATTTAATAAATGGCCCCCGTGTCCTTTCCTTTGTGTAGGATTCAGCCTCGATCTACTGACACAGCAGGATTTTGTACCAAATGCTATATCGTAATATAAAATTTATAAAAAGTTTTACCATTTTGTCATACTGTTCTGTACCAAATTGCATTTTCGAAAAATACTTTGTTGAGCAACATAAATTATGACTATCATATAGATTTTGATGAACTATTTAACATATAGGTCGATTGCATATAACACTATATCATGCTAGTCTGGTAGACTTTGATGAATAATTAAACAAGCACAAAATCATGCCAATTGGGTAGAGTTGTGAACAATATAACAAATAGGTGAAATGCAGATAACACAAAGTCTTGCCAATCTTGTAGAATTTGGTGAACAATTAAACAAGGACAAAATCATGCCAAGGGGTTACACTTTGATGAACAATTTAATAGATAGGTAGAGTGGATATAACATAAACTCTACCAATCTGGTAAAGAATCCTTGAAGAGCAATAATTGTGTGCCCCGGTCCGAGGCTATTTTTTAAATACCACCAATTACGGGGGTATTCGGCTAAGACCATCCCCTTATGAGGACATTCTTGTCATTCACCCCATGTTTTTTTGGTCCAAAAGTCCTTTGATTTTGATTTCTCAGTATCTCGAAAGTAATAAAATGTGTGAAGATAGAAGTAATTAGAAAGATAGAGACAGAGTAGGACAAAGTCTTTTTAGAAAAATAGCAACTAAGAGGTAAAATAACCCACGGTGTGGCCTAGTGGTCAATGAAGGGGGAGGAGAACCATGAGATCTCAGGTTCAAATCCCCAAAAAGATAGAAGAAAGAATACAAAAGAAAGCCGAGCCGGAGGGCCAAACCAAAAAGACCAGCAAGGTTTACAACAAAGAACGATGACAGAATAGCAAAGTGAACCAACAATATCTGAATGATGTTACTGCAAAATATTGGATATTGTTTTGATCTTGAATGACCATTATGAAATAGCAAATGGCTCTACAGCTCTTCATAGTTTTTAATTTCAATAAAAGAACAATATTCAAAAGTCCACTTGGAATTAAACGCATACAGAAATTAAAGTATATTTTTTATTTGTGCTTTTACCTAGAAATCTATAATGAGGCAATATTTCTGCAGTGACACTAAGCTTTCGTATCGTTTTCTTTGCAGGCTTATGACCAGCATCTTAATATGATTCTTGGTGATGTTGAAGAAATTGTGACCACAATTGAGATTGATGATGAAACATATGAGGAGATAGTTCGGGTACACGCTCTCTCTTCCGCTTTTGGTTTCTGATATATGCCTTTTCTTTTATTGGTCAATGCACCACATGTTTCTATTTAAGATCTTTGTAATCAATTTGACTCACACTTGTAAAAGTGTTCGGCATTTTAAGATAATTATCAGCAAATGTGATAAATTGACTTGGAAAGTCAGTTGTCCAATGTAATAATAACAACTACTACGTCTCAATCCCAAGCTAGTTGGTGTCTACTATATGAATCCCACTCTGCATGTTGCTCCATTTAGGTTTTTCTGCATCCAATATTTCACAATTTAGATTTTCTATCACTAGAAGCTCTCTACATTTCCAATGGCATACAAATCCTTAATAAAATTATAAGACTCCTAGAGTATATTGGACCTAGAGTAAGCATACCTACATGACTAAGACTAATTTAAACTACTCCTCCATCTCATTTTATGTGAAGGTATTGTTATTTGGGGAAATTACACAGTTTTTTCTTTGACTACAATTTTTTCAAACACTTTCTTTTAACATATTTTTAATCATTAGTTATGCTGATTTGTAGTGCTTTTTATGTAGTTTGCAGATATGTATTTTTTTTTTAAAAAAAAATATAAAGAATCTATGCGCAAATTCACATCGTATATCAAGTGTTTTGACCCTTGCACTCCAAACCCTTAACATAAAGTAATTAGTATCGCTATTATGAATCTTTTTCCTTCTATTGTGTGCTATTTTTTGCTTAGTATGTAAGCAGTCCAATAATTTGTAGATCCTTTGAGTCAATTTCATCCCATATGATTTTAGATCAGTTTGTATCCTTGTAACACCTTCTATCAACACGGGTTCACACTTGCAGATAGGTACATCTGGAGGTTGACTAGGACATGACCCTACTATCTCAAGCGAGCCTTTTTTCATTTTCTCCTTTACTGTAGTACTTTACCTTTTGCTAGATATGATAATTTCTATCATGCATGACTACATATCCATCTTAACATTCGCTTTCTACGACACTCATCTCGTGGATATGTTGCACCTGAGATGCCTAGTATTCCTTGTGAAATTAGCGGTCTTACAATATTCTACAGAATTTGCGTTTCATTTTGGTAGGTATCCTCCTATCGCATATCTTTCTGATTGCACTTCTCCATTTTCAACCGGTCTATTTTGGTTATGTGTTACATCTTTGTCTATCTACTATCCTTTTGTAACCTCGAGGTAGATATTAGAATTGTTTGCATTCATCCAATTTCAACAATAATTTATGTACATAATTCCAATTCCAATATAAGTTATATTAGTGATCAACTATCGCCTTTTAACTTTTGGTTGTTATCATCTTATATACTCCTTTTTGTTTTCTACCACTGTTCTTTCTTTCGGTTTGGGGGGGGGGGGGTAACGGAAAAATTCCTAAGGGCCAGTATCACATGGTTCGAAACTTGGTGGATGACGGGCCCGCCCCTCTACCCTTCTCTACTTAAAAACCAAGGTTTTGTTTGCGGCAAGGTCCAAAAGTTCATGTGCGCCTGACCTACACTCACGTGTTGGTCTCTTCCCACCGAATAATTCCTAAGGGCCAGTATCACATAACCGAGGTTTTGTTTGCGGCAGGGTTCAAAAGTTCATGTGCGCTTGACCTACACATCACGTGTTGGTCTCTTCCCACTAGACCAAAGTCCTGAGAGCGGTTTGTTTTCTGCCACTATTCTTTCTCGTTATAGTCAATTATATCTGTTTATTAGAATCATTTCTTCAATATTACTAGAGTTTGCGTTATCTTTTTGACATCTTGTGGAAGATAATTTTCAAATATCTATTAGTAGACAATCCTTATCTATTAGGTAGTTTCTGTAGATGGAAGTATCTTTTTTAGAATAGTATAACAATTAAGGACCCGTTTGGCCACGAGTTTTGCCAAAATAAATTTGGGATTTATTTTCAAAACTCATGTTTGGCCATAAATTTTGCCCACATTTTGGCAAAATCCCAAATCCCAAACCCCAAATCCCAAAATATTGCTGATAAAGGCCAAAATCCCAAAACTTGGGAATTATATACATGTTTTTCCAAAATAAAGTTGGGAAATATGTTTTGAAAAAGTATGTCCAAACACATTTTCATCTTCAAACCAAACTTCACCCGAATCAGAGTTTTCAAAACAAATTTGGGAATCTATGGCCAAACACTAGCTAAATATTTGGTAAATGTCATATTAGTTTTTAAAGAGGGAGTTATAAGGGATTTTAATGTGTTGTTGTAGGAGTACCAAATGGATAATTCAGTGTCTGAACAGAGAGATTGTTGTACGAGTAATTGCTTTAGTTCTTGAATCTAAAGGCAAATGTAGGAAGTTCCAATGGGGTCACCACCGGTGCACAACAGCTAGCATATTCTGGTGTATTTGATTCCCTTAGGCCCTCAAGTATGGACACATGGATATGAGTGCTGAACATTGGTGCGATGCAACTGAGAATGAAGTTTATACCATATATTGATTTATCAAGGGTGATCAATGAACTATTTAGTGAAAATGTTTGTAGCACAATGTCTCTAGCATATTTGTTTTCGATTGCCGCAAAAGTTAAGCCACCCCCCCCCCCCCCCTCCCCCCGTTTTTTTTTTGTGAGGATGATAAGCCATCCTCTTTCCTTCTCCGTTTAATCTTCTGCGGTGGTGGTGCTTCCATATTTTTGGCATTTGGTCATGTTTGGAAAAGTCAAACCTGATATACAGTGGCTGTATTGGAAGTGTCTCATACCTGCGTTTATGTCATGTTGCTAAAGGGTACACAGCCAATTGGTGGTTCCATCTAAGTTCTAAGGCCGTCCTTGGTCTGTTTGTGTCTTGAACAACACATAGTTATTTGGAGAAGGGCTATTGACTGTAGTGTTGGTGATGGCTGAGTCAGATTAAGGGGTGAGGGATGGAAGTCAGTGAAGGAAGGTAGTTATTCATTTAATTTATTTTAGGGATGGGGATGAGATAGCAGACATGGCTCATTGGGTGATGGACAAGATACGGGAGCCAATACTCTTTTTTGTTAGTTTTGCTGCAAGGCGAATGGGATAGCATACACCAAGCATCAGGTAATTGGCAAGAGATGAGGAGCTAATTCAATTGCTTGAGCTAGGTAAAGTATGTTTAATAAGGAGCAATTACAAGCAAATGGAATTTTTACTTAAATGAATTTAACAGAACATGTGTTCTCATTTCTTGATCCTTATTGTGAGAAGCTTACTTTCCCCATTAGCATAAGTAAAAAAAAATTTCCTGAGTAAGTTTTCCTCTTAGATGAAACACAACTACCAGGAAAATCGTCTTTTGTTTTGAACGAAATGATGCCATGGAACCCTATAATCCTGAAATAATGGTATATATAGCAACTCAACAATGTAATGTTTTCCAGTTTTATCTGATTGACAAATCAATGCCTTCTCCCGTCAGTGCACATGCTTGATTCAGCTATTTTAGTTCCAAGGAAAGCCTTAACATCTAATTTCCGCGGATAAGCTTAACCATGGAAATGAGCAAATCATCTGTCATGTTTGGCAGAATGTCTTAAATTTCATTTTGCATCTGTATGATGCAAACATACTATTTGCTTATGAACATTAGTTGGGCTCAATATTTTTCCGCCTCTTCTGCACTAATGGTATATAATCTTCTGACATGGTTACTTGTGCTTATTACAGACTACAAGACGGACCATCCCTTTCCTATTTGTTCGTGGGGATGGTGTAATACTGGTGTCTCCTCCTCTGCGGACTGCCTGATCAATAGAGAAGATGTTCTCATCATAAACCTGTGCAAGCATCCTATATTTTGTTTAAGGTGCTGCAGTAAATTTATAATAACTCAGATTATTGAGGAAATATTTTCTGTATCACAATCTCATTTTGGAGCAACACGTCTCTCAGTTTCTGCGTGCCCATTCTCGTGCATGGACCATGCTAGCGTTCTCTATATTGTTCCAATTCTATCGGATGTCCGAAAGGGATTGGGCAACATGCTTTATCCGCTTGTGACTTTTAAAATGAGGTGTGAAGGGAATATTAATCTTAAGGGCCTCCGAAACAAGCAAATTAGGTTTGGTGAAGAATCCATATAGTTTGTTTGGCCAAGCTTCTCAAGGCGAAAATTACTTTTTTTTTCTTTTTCTTTAAGTTGAAGTGTTTGGCTGTTTGGCTAAGCTTTTAGAAGAAAAAAAGTGCTTTTAAGTAGAAGCAAAAAGTAGTCTCTCCCTAAGAGCAGTTTTTTGAAAAACATGCTTGAGAAAAATATACTTAGAAGCACTTTTTAGAAGCTTGGCCAAATACTGTAGTTATTGCTCTAAAGTGCTTTTCAAATTAATTAGTCAAATACAAAATGCTTTTCATCAAAGTACTTTTAAAAAAAAATACTTTTTGAGAAAAATACTTATGATAATAAGTTAGATTTTAGAAGCTTGATCAAATAGGCTAATATAATGTATTTCTCTCCATTTCGTCAAGTGGTGGAGGAACAGTTGTCCTGTTTATGATGGAGTCCTAACATTGATTTATTTTACTTTTTCGGGGCATTTTTATATATACGTACTTTTTGGGCCACCATTGAAGTTATACTTTCATTGCACAAAATTTTGTAATGACCCTCTCGTATCTGAAGTAGTTCAATCTTTTCGATGTAACTTCAGAAATCAAATCTGAAAGTTTTTTTATCTTTCAAATGCAACTTAAGAAATTCGAATCTAAAGTAGTTGAATCTCTTCGATGCAACTTCGGATATAAAATTTACAATTCTTCTATCTTTTAAATGCAACATCAGAAATTCGAACCTTAAGTAGTTCAAATCTATTGAATGCAACTTCAGATTTCGAATCTTAATTTCTGAAATATAAATTTATTTTTCGAATTTCAACAAACTAATACATGATTCAATGCCTAAATCTACACCAAATGAGCTCAAATTTGAAACACAACTTTTAAATATCATAAAGAAGAAATCTCAATCATTATTGTCAAACAACAACAAATTTAACAAATCCATTTTGCAACTAAGAAGTAGGAGTGTACATAGGCCGGGTTGGTTTGAATTTTTCAATTACCAAACTAAACCAATGGTGTCGGGTTTTTAAATTTATAAACCAACCAAACCAAGAAAATCAGGTTTTTCAATCTCGATTTTTCTCGGGTTTTTGGATTTTTTTCCGGTGAAGTCTTCATAAACACAAAATATATAACTTGTACTTTAAATTTTTCTTTAGTCTTAGTAAGATACAACTATATAACGTATTTTGCAAGAAAATAACATAATAATATGAGATAAGTCAAAGCTTTATGCTAAAATATTCAATAACAAAGATAATAAAATTACATATAATAAATATTGCTAATTAATGAGCCATAATAAAAATCAACATAATCTTAATATACTATATAGATCATGCTAAATAGGTGTTCTAGCTAATAACTAATAAGTACTATTAGTTACATAACTAAGAACTAAAGAAAAAGATAAACTAAGTAATGCATTTTTATTATAAATCAATGTAAAACTAAAAAATAGTTATTCAACACTATCGTCATTCCTAGTGTTGAATTGAATTTCTTTTGTTAGCATTGGTATTGATTTAAACTTTGTTTGAGTTACTACATTTATGGGCTATAAAATTTATTCACCATTCAAGAATGTTAAGTCCAAACTTGAAATAATACATTAAAAGATAAAACTGTAAAAAGTTTAAGAAATATGCATAAATTACATTACAATAAATATTCATATATATAATAATATTTTTTAAAATTGTATAAATATACTATCGGTTGGTTTGGTTTCGGTTTGACTTTTTAGTTAAAACGAACCAAACCAGTTATGGTCGGTTTTTTTTTTCAATACCAAACCAAACCACTATCGGGTTTTTTTCCAGTTTGACTCGGATTATCGGTTTGATGTGGTTTATCGATTTTCTTTGTACACACCTACTAAGAAGAACAAGAATAAACTCTAGGCACAAAGAAGAAAACAATAGTAAAGAAGAAGAGAAAAATATAAGTATCTGAAGTTATCCAAAAATTGAATATCTATTAAGCTGTTTTTAAAAAGCGAGTACAAATCTAATGGATGGCACAGAATTGAGCGCCACATGAAAATTTTACTACTTTTCCATGTTCCATACTTTTGTTAGAGTGTTATTAATTTGTTAAGAGGCTCTGCAGAACTGCTTTTATTTGTTATTTTCGCTCTGAATTGAATATTTTGTCATTAAAAGAAGACGTTTATTATTTTGTATTATTTTCATTTTTTACTCGAATAAAGTAACAAAAAATTGGATGTATTTAATTGAATAAAAATGATGATAGAAAATAATTGTTAGTTGACGCGTTTGATAATATGAGGAAGAATTCCTGGCAATTATTTTTTTTTTAAACAAAGAAAGAGGGAAAAAACCTCATCCAACTCAATCTCTACGTAGAAATTTGTTTAATCATAGAATGTTTATGTATTTATATTTTATATACACAATTGGAGGTCCAACTTGTCATATTGTGTATGGTCTATCAACAGCTTATATAGTTTTAACACAATTAAATTCAAATCTATGATTGACTTAAATAATTACTAACACTAACACCTAAAATTTTAAGTAAGGTTTTAATTAAAGTTTGCAGGAATTTCTTACCAAAGCTAGAAACTTAAATTAGAGCTAAAATTAGTAACTTTAAATAACATTATATTCAGGGATAATTGTAGAGACCTCTCTCCAACTTAATATTTAAAAAAATTATTTTCTAGCTTGAAATTTCAGAGCTTGAAAAGATTAATTTAGGGATAATTTCAGAGCTTAATATTTGAAAAGAAAGCTTACTTTTTCTTCTTCTTCATTTTTTATGTCTGCATATATTATGATATAATAAACATTGTTTCTAATATTCTCCTTTCCGAAATTCAACATTATAATTTGGGCGAATCTAATACCCTATTTGTTTAAAAAAAGATTGGCAGTATTTCCTTATTAGTCTGTTTCAAAATGATTGACTCATTTTAATATTTCCTTAATAGGAAATTTTTATAGTCACACAAATACTATAATACGAGCCCAAGTTATGGTCTGAACCTGGTCTCAAGCCCTCCAGACTGACTTACGCCCACAACACAGAAAACACATCTCAAACCTCATCCACGACATCGCAGGCCATCATTGCCAAGCTAATACTGAATGCTCAACATCACGTACGAAGTGGATGGAAGGAAATCAATGATACACGCTTCAAACTGAATCAATATCTTATGATAAAGAAAGATGGGAAGTTTTTCCTAGATTCCCTGTAGCTTCTCGAAAGTAGGTATGGATGTCATCATACCGATTCGCAAGAATCTACTAGACACTTTCTCTAACTCGTTGAAACTATGAATCTAGACCTCTGATACCAATTTGTCACGATCCAAAAATCTACCTAGTCGTGAGAGTACCTAACCCAACCCTAGGTAAGCCAAACAACAGTCAACACAACTCAAATGAAAACAATAAGAATCAATAAGTGAAATAACTAAATTTCTAAACAATAACCAACAAATTGGTAGTACAAATTATGAGCCATTAAGATTTAGATTTACAAAGCTAGTATGAAAATAAATACAACATTTATTTGGAATATACATAAACTGAATACAAATCTAAAACTACCAAGGACAAGTGGTAGCTATATCCGAAAAGCAGGAACAACTTTAATACCAGCTCCCGCCATACACAACATCATTAACTCCAAGATCTGCATGTAAGGTGCAGAAGTGTAGTATGAGTGCAACCGACCCCATGTACTTAATAAGTAACAGACCTAACCTCGGACTGAACGTAGTGACTAGCTCAGAAGAAGGTCGGTGTTCAACACCAATGATCAATAACAACATGATATAAAGATGACAGTAGAATAAAACAATTCAAGAGATATCTTGTTCAGCTCGTTCCCAAATATGAAAAAATTAGGCATGCTTTTCAAGTATAACAGTCAGAGCCCAATCTTTCTTCCAAATCACTAAAATATGAGTTTAACAAGGTAACTGTGATTTTTCAATCTTTCAACAATAGATAAGACATTTCATTACCATCTAGCATGAGCGAAAATACGTCTCTATGCCTACCTGTCAAATATACATGTCTAGTCAATAACATCACAATGAAACCATCAAGTATACTCACACTTAACACACTCCCGGTGCCTGGCACAAATTCCCCTCACCATCGCACACACAGCCACACTCAGCACTGTATGAGTGCCTGACACAAATTCCCCTCACCAAAGCACATATATATCACTATGGCCGCGCTCACTATAATATCAGACTCCGAAAGTGCGGATCCTTGCCCAAGAGCTAATAAATAATCAATATATCCATTGCGGCGTGCAATCCGATCCAAATATTAATTCGTTGTGGCGTACAACCCGATCCAAATATTAATCCAATACGACGTGCAACCCGACATATTAATCCATTGCGGCGTGCAACCCGATCCAAATATAAATCACAATACAGGTCTATGGCTCACATAAGTCATCAACCGCTCAAGTCTCAATGACTCATGTCTTATGGAGCTCAGCCCAAATGATATCACATATAAAAGGTATCAACGACATGTGATATGACATATGAATAATGCACAGAGACCGAGATATAGTATGCGGATGAAAAATTATGATTGAGAATATGACTACCGCTCAAGCCTCAATTAATCACATCCCACGGTTCTCAGTTCAACAGTGTTACTCATATGAGGCATCAACAATAAGTAAGAAATCATAATAAGAATGCACTAAGACATAGATATCATACACAGATATAGCACCATGACTAAGAGTATATCTATAATTAATGCAAACAACTTAAAATAACAAGAATAGCCCTATCATGTCTGAAACAAATAAGTATGTAGCCTAGACATGATTAGAATAAA